TAGTTTCTTAATTAGTTGTTTAGAAGAAATAAAGATGCTAATATTTTTTACTTCTACATGATCTTTTGTTTTTTATAAACATGCTATTTGTTGTTGCAATTAACTTACATAATGTTTAAAAATTAAAATTCGTCGATCACCTTGTGTACAAGCAAACTTTGCATTTGTGTTTTGAGTGTTATTGAGTGTTCAAACTGAATATGTAGATTTAGATAGGAGTAACGTTTTATGAGATCAGTGTTGATTTTCCGTTGGACTATAAAATCTTAGAAAGATGTAATAATAATGAGATTAAAACTGTGAAAATCGGTTGAACAGTGTGGCCTCCCGACTCCAATTTCCGTAAACTATACCCTACAATTAAAATATGATTTATACCCGGGGCCTCTTGTAAATTATATGTAACAATATTCATCCAAGACAAGCAGGAATGTGGTCAACACATGTTAGAATAAATAATATTCTGTAAGTTAAACAACTTGAATTTTTGACTAGATACTGATAGGAGTGGTCTTTCTTTAATAGCTGTATTAATACAAATCTCGTGACAGTAACATGGAGCACAGCACTTAACCTTACATTCTATAAAAAGAGTAAAAACGAGTTTGCCCAAAATAGCAACCTAACGTTTTTGAAACTAGTTTTGCAAGTACTTACGTGTATACAGGGTGATTCTTAAATAGACCGACAAAATTTTATCACAGCTTCACAATGATAAATGGAGGCAAACTGTACAATTTTTAGGTTTATATCTTTTAGGGGCAAAACCCCCTTAATCCGTGCCACTTACGGCGTTTATGAATTGTTGCAATAATCAAGTACATTTTTATCAAATTAATACCATGGTTTCCACTACCTGTGCTAGTACTATTTACGAGCACATCAGTGGCGTACGCTTTACTTCGAAAATCATTTAAATAAATGTTATTTGGGAACAGTTAAACAAAGAATTTTTTAAATATTTTTTCCAGCATGTTCTCATTTGATACTACCAAGGATAAAATTTTGTCGGTCTATTTAAGAATCACCCTGTATATTCCTACGAGTATTCCGCTACTATCAAATTGAAAAAGGTGCTCTTCTGCCTGGACTCATCTTACCAAAAATTTACATAATTGTTTCGGACGGTAAATTTTAACAATGATACTCGGGATAAAATTTGATTACTGGTAACGTGTTTACAAATTGCAAAGCACGTTCCGACGTGAGCAAATACAAATAGCGAACGTGTGAAGACGCTTGGATGCATCATTCATCTGACAAAGAGCCCGGAAAAGCTTCCGTAATTCGAAGTAAAGGTTCCGGATGCACTTTTAATTAGAAATACAAATGAATCTTTCACAAAACCTCAAATCAATTTTAATTTCAGGTGGAATAAGAATGTTTAAACCCAATTCCATTTTCGTGTGTTTAAGCCGATTTTAGAACAAAGCAAAATGGATTGCCAAACGAAGCGACAGCAGATTTGTCAGAGTGAATTCCATACAAGCATTTTGTTACTACATACTTATTTAAATAATTTTTATCCACATGTTAACATTATAAATATTTGCAAATATTGTGTTTATGAATTTAAATTTTAGCCGTCTTAATTTACTACTACTTAATTACTTATATTTTTATAACCTTTATACTTACGTTAAAAATTTACATAATTCATTAAAATAATACGTCTGACACAAAGAATTTTTTTTAAATTAATTTAACAAACAAAGCTTTAACTTGTTTATAGGCATACCTACATATTAGTGCCAATTCGTAATTAAAAAAATAATTAAGTTTCATTAAACAATTTTTTTCCCGTTTCGTGGTTTTGTACGGTGGCTCGTTATTTTGCGCTTTGGGAACGAAATGGCACTATTGAAACAAAAAATCTGTTAACAATGGACCCACTGAAGTAAACTGTCAATTATAAACTGTCATGACATAATCTAACCTCTAAAAATAGTTTTGCGGCAATTTCGGAAAAAAAGTTTTGCCAACTGTAGGTATAATTTAATCGACGTCTACTCTAATTCATTTATTTTTTTTGATCGCACGGTATTACTATATACATACTATAAAATACAACAAAATAAATCCACAAATCTCTCATGTTATATTTTTCTCACTTCAATTTGAATATGAGCTACAAAAAATGTATAGTATCATTCGCTACCTGCACTGCTTCCGTTTGATAACTTGGAGGCTTGAAACATTTTATAAATTTTTGTTTTTTAGAAATAAGGAAGTAATACACATATTCTTGGAAAGTTACGTTGTTTTGATGGTAAAATGAATTCAAGTAACATCTGTAAAAGCGGACAAACTCGCCTAAATGTTATGAGCTTGCGATATACAGGGTGAGTCTTAACTTACGCATAAATTTAGAGAATAAAAGGTTATGATCAATAATAAGTAAAAAAAATAAAAAATAAGTTAAATAATAGTTATTTATAATTATAATACAAGGCGATAAATAAATTGTTTATCTATGAGTGAAAAGAATAAGTTTACGAGTGACGAAGTCACGAGTGGATTTTTTCCACGAGTAGATAAACAATCTTTATCGTCGTGTATAATACTTCATTTTATTTTGTACTCACCTACCAGAATTTCTTGTGTCTGTCTGGCTGTTGAAAACACTGGTCAAAGTGGAGTAGATAAAAATTACTTTATTTCACTAGACTATCTACTGGAATTGGTTGATAAAAGCACTCTTTAACATTGAGTACAAAAAAAAAAGTTTTTTATTTTTGTCGAATATCAATAAATAAATACCACTTAAATATTATGCGTATAAGTTAAGACTCACCCTGTATATACAGGTTCGTAAATGTGTTCGTAAATAGTATTAGCATAGGTAGTAGAAACCATGGTATTAACTTGATAAAAATGTACTTGATCATGCAACATTTCATAAACGCCGTAAATGGCACGGATCAAGGGGGTTTTGCCCTTAAAACATATAAAGGTAAAAAAGGTACAGTTTGTCTTCTTTTATCCTTGGGAAGCTGTGATAAAATTTTGTCGGTCTATTTAAGAAAAAATGTACATATTAAAAGTAATAGAGAATGTGTGGAAGTGTACCAAAATGTAACAAACCGAATTATTAACAATGGATGTTACTGCTGAAATTGGAATGTTTGCACGAATAATGATGGGTGTAAAAGTTAGTTGCGAAACTTGAAACTAGGAGGAAGATGTTAAATGTTAAGGAAATGCATGTTTAATGAGAAGTATGAAAGTAAAAATTTTAATTGCATATTAAATAGAAACAAAAAAATATTGCCTAATTTGGAAGCCTGATGCATCAATTGTATCAATTTTGTAACATATAAGTGTTATCATAATTCTCATATTAAAGCGAATGCTAAACATAAAAATGAGATTAAGTGTAGAGTCTGGATTCTTCAAGCGAACAATTTGCAAATAACTAAAGTATTTCTCTTGAGAAATTAACAGTTCACACATTTTCCAACTAACAGTAAACTAACTATTAAATTATGTACTGTTTTTTTTTAATTAGAAATCAAAGTAAGTTGAACAGATTTGTCAGAAACATCAGATTGGCAGATAACCTGTATTTAATAATAACGATCCTGACCGATTTTCAGACGGAACTCAAAATACATTCTCAAATAACACAAAACGTTAATTCATGTACTGTTTGAAATTTATGAACATACTAGATACCTATGATAGCCTTGACAGTTTTTATAAATTGGCGTCTTACGGTGTATGTACATACCTTTGACGGTATAAATTCAGCCAGAGAATTTTTGTAGCCATACGTATAAATATAAAGATATCCTATAAAGATCATGTCAGTTTTTTTGTCATTTAAGTACCTACAGTTGGTTGCAATAAAAACGGAAAATAGAATTTTCTTTAGATTGAAACAGATTTTGCCTTTGTCAATTTAGTTGTCAATTTGTCATCTGTCGCATTGAAATATTTTTTTTGCAATGCCGCATCAAACACAAATCGAGATAATCAATTATTTAAAAATAGTTGAGTACCTACTTACGTGAAAACCCAATGAGTAGTGAGTACTACAGATTAACTGTCAGTAGTGTCAGTTCTAACTTAACCTTTTAGAATTAAGCCATGTTCAAATTATGGATAAATATAAAAATCTGACATTTTTATGCTTTGACATTTTCCGATTTTTTTGCAACCAAGTGTAGTTATTCAAGGGAATAAAAAAGTAGAATTGACGACACTATCAAATTTAACAACAGAATTCCTTTGATTTAAAATTAATGATCTAAATTTTTCAAACATACAAAAGTCAAGTTGCCTGTGAGAATGTAGGTATCTTGGGCTGCGCCTGAAAACGGTTAAGGTCTTTATTATAAATGATTTAAAATACCCTGCATCGTATCGTATCGAAGTAGATAAAAATCGTCGACAAAAGTTTAGTGCATAACAAAATCTTGCATTGGATTACCTGGTCAAGGATTCTAACACCCACATTATTTGTTTATTTATTCATAGTTCAAACCATAAAGTGAAAATACAGTTAGAATTTGCTCTCATTTTTGCAAATAAATACTAGTTATAGTAAATATTATAGTAAAAGCCACAGCATTTATATTAAAATTAAACAAATTGATTATAATAACAGCGCAAATTTTGTACAGTTAATACATACCCAATACAATATGCAAAAATTAAAATTGCAAATTTTTTATCGCAAGTTGTTTACATAAAATTGTTGTAGTGGAATAGATCTATTATTGTCGTTTTGGTACTGATACGACATGAACCTAACATTCTGAAATCAATGTTAACTTCTTCAGATTATCATATATGAATAAACTAAGACATTTAAGTTGCTAACCAAATTTTGACAAGAGTTCTAATCTTACCTTGAACCTATTTCATTTGTAAACCGCTAAACATTTAAGCAAATTAAATTGACAATTCTAATTACAGTTATTCTACTTTTGGTGATTATCCTTACTTCAAAGTGCAACACATTTGCTTTTTTCGTTACAGAAAATATTAAAACAAACCTTTCAACAAAGTTCACTTTTGTTGAAAACTTTCGATTTAAACATCCACTAACACTCAAGTTTACAAGTTACGAATTTACGGTTTTAATTCAAAACGCGGTAAAAATTTGCATCGAATCTTCACTGGCGCGTTGTACCGCAGGTTCAATTGACTTGATTGACTTCCCTGCTTGCGCGAGTAGCACTAAAGCTTTGCCTCCATTTTCCATTCATAAGATAGCGCCCGGCCTGCACATGCGCCTCCGCAAACGTGGAGCTTTGTGCTTTGAAAAATTTGCCACCAAATTGTGCGCTTTCTCGGCGCTACGGATTAACTCGATTTCATTGCAGGATCATTTAAAGCTCGGAGAGGAAATGATTAATTGGTCACGTTTCAATTACTCATCAATCATTTTGATGCATGTGTTCAGAAAGAGTAGCGAAAAGTGCTTTTGTCACTGCGAGAAGTTCTTTGGTAAAGTCTGCCAAAAGATATACTGTTTTTACGACCTTTTACGATTTCCTCTTTTTAATAATATGTGTATCCACGACCATTAAATAATACGTTTGTTATTTACGTAACACTAGGTACATACATTATGCTACTCATAAATTACACCCGTTACTTATTATAAGTTACTAACTGACTTATATTTATGATAGTGACCTATTGTTGTCAAATTCCAAACATCGAAAATATTTCATAATTGTGGATAAAGTATCGTATTTATTCTACTCGTATATAATGGGTACTCAGGTGATTAAAAAATTCGTCTGCGACTCGTTTTTTACACCTAAGCTTTGTAAAGAATAGCCACCTACGGTTATTGGCACCATCTCGTTAAAAATATTGTCGGCATGCTTCACGCTGGTCAGGGCCGTATTATGAATCTTCTATTATTTGAGAGCATAACATATACTATTTTATACGAAAACGTTTTCAGGTAAATTTAAAATGATAGATAAAGAAATTTTCCCCCAAAATTGAATAAAGTTACGCTTTATTCCCTCATTTTTGACAAATAATACCGCCCAACAGAATTTCTGTTGCATCCAATATTACCTACGTTGTTAGATACAATTTCTGCTCTGATTAGAAAAATGTAAATGGCTTCTTTCCCATCGTTTCTAGTTTTTGAGATAGGCGTTGTTAACAAAAAATACCAACTTTTGTCAAAGTAAAATTTTAATATTAGCTATATGTAAATACATATTTAATTAAAAAAAAAAACATTCTTTTGTAAGATCGTTGAGTATGTACAGCAATGATATTCACAACACAAAAAAGTCTTTCATTTCTTCATAAACCCAAAGATTCAACACAAACTTTACACACATGAGAAACGTAATTGTTTCGTATTTCTAAGACTACTTTACTAGAAAATAAGTCTTTTTACAAACTACGATGTTTGCAAACGTTTTTTTTTTTGTTAAATCTGTATTCACCACAAATGTAACAAAAATATTCTGTATTATTTCTCCGCAATAGTCATCACATTTCCAATCATAAAGAAAAACTACTAATTATTACGTTATGAACAAATATATTGTACCACCTTTTATTTTACCTTATAATGTAGTATTTTATTCTATCGGCAATAAAATAAATTAAAATAAATTGAATCTTTTGACTGTTTTTGATATCAACAAACATTTTTTTACCTTTTTACCTCTTTTTACTCTTAAAATTGAATTGAGTAAATTAAATATTTCAATAAATTAAGTGACATTATTTTACAAATGTATCTTATACGAGTATTTTATGGTATTATTCATTTAGTGTGTTGGGAAGAAAGTTGTTCTCTTCGGTCGCCTCTGGCTCTGGCTACATACATTCTCAAGATTAAGTTGCATATTCTTTTAATACATAAATAATTATTAAATGCAAAAGCAAAAAAGTAACACTTGTAGAGAAATTAAATTTAAAATTTGTAGTTGAATCATAAAAGAAAACAATAAAATTGCAGTTCTTGAAAAGAATTACGTATGTAATTGCTATAATTTTGATGTGGTAATGTTGTTTTCAAGTTTCATCAATTAGATTCTGCCGAATAGAATAACTTCCTGAACAACATCATGCACATTTTTATTTAAATACACTTTTTACTGGTCTAAATAATGGAAATGTATAACATTTACCACAAAATGTACAAAGTTTAGAACTTCAAACAAGCATTAACTTTGAAATGTTGCTGGAAGTAAAAACACCATTACATTATTTGATTGTTAAATTTTTAATCGGAGTCTTTTAGAAAATATTAACTTTGTTATAAAATGAAAAAGCTTTGTTTTATATTAACATTAGAGAGTAAAATTATTGTGAGTTAACAATAGGTACATTTCTTTTCAATCAATTTAGTATTTAAAAATGTGATAAAGCTGAGAAAACTGTTTTATAATTAACTATAATTTTCATTGTAATAAAGAGTCTTAATTACTCTTGTTTATGACATTACAAGAATACAGTGTCGGTTCTAATTAGGTTTTATTAATCATCTCTTGATTTACAAATACAATTAAATATTATCATTTTTTGTGTAGCTAGTACCTACATCTAAAGCTTTTACAAATTTACAAACTATAAACTACTCAACAGAATTTATTTTATCACAAATGATTGGTTGATTAGAGATCGTCTTGATGACTTATAAAAATCCTACAAAATAATTGTAGTTCAAAAGTAATTTACATTATTTAATTGGAGTAGATCTTTTTTTTTTCGAAAATATTTTGACTACAAACGTTAATGGAATTTTTTTTAATTTTTAGTAACGTCATCATAATAACACGTTATAAAGTACACATAAATAATAACGAAACCAGTTACAACGAAACCAGTTCTTGTATTTCACAATTTTTTCTAAACTGTTGCACACTTCGCATAATGATACCTACATCACATTTGAATAATTCATAGAATCAAATTTAGAAAAAATAATAAGCAAACAGTGTGTTTACTTACGATTGGAAAAATAATAGAATTTATAATGAGGAGATAATATGAATGTAGTTTACTTTTATTTAAATTATAAATTTTTTATAATTTTGAACGTAATGTATGTTCAGTAAATTTACGTAAGTATTTTCATCTACGAGTAGCTGTAGCTGAGCTGAATATTAATATTATTAATTAGAAAAGGTCATAATGTTAATTTATTAACAATTTAAAGTAGGAAAACAGCTTCAGATAATTTTAGTAACAAAATTTAACAACTCTATCCTTAATAAATTGGCGTTAAATTTTTGTCAAAATTATCTATGTCATTGATTTTTTAATTTCATAATTATTTAATGCATCTGCTGTGAATTACTCAAAAGACGACCTTGTTAAACCATACCAACAGCACCTTAGCACCTTGGTATTAGCATTATAAGTGTAAAAGAAGTTTAATTAGTAATAATTATGTTATTGATTCCATTTTTAATAAGAAAAAACCCAAAACATTTGAGTTTAGATCTCACTCATGCTGAAAGCGGTAATGCTTTTAAATTGTTGCAGTTTGGTGTAACAGCTGAAAGGAAATTTTTAAATGAAGAATTAAAAGTTATCTGATGAAGGTTTTATTATTTTATATGTAAGTATATTAATTAGTATATCGAGTCAGTCATTTGTACTTTTTTATTTGTTGTAGTTTCCAGCTTTATTTAACTCTCATAAAAGAGCACTAGAGCACCGATGCAGTGATTTATTGTTAATTAGAAGTGAAGTTCTCAGCCGTAATATTGGAAGCACTCTTAATGAAATATTTGTAGTATACCTGAAAAAGTAGTCTGAAATAATAAAAAATAAAATAAAGCCGTATTCATAATAAAAACATACTGGTTTAGAAGCAGATTATATCGCATTTCGTATACATAACAGTCATGCTTAGTTAAACTGAATAAAATGAAAAGTTCATTTCCTTTGATGCAAAATGAATTAATTACAAAACAATCATAAATATTAAATATCTAAATTACAACTAAAAATAATAACACTAGTTTTGCATAATTTCTCTTTAATGTTTAATAAATGAATTCATAGTTTTGTTTTAAATAATTTTTGAAATTTCTGTTCCCTTCGTTTAAGAATGGAACTGCAATAATTATTCGCTATTATGATTTATTGAACATCTGCAAACAGCAAACACATTCGTTGACACGTGTTTCATATAGAATTTTACTTAAAAGTCAATCAGGTTAAATATTTTGTTTACATATAAGACGCATTACATTTTTTAGTGTTCTAATAGGCTATTGGCAAAATATTAAAATTGAAATAAATTATTAGAAAAATTTGCTATAAATCAGGCAGATGTAGTGACGTAGGTACAAATAATCATGTTGCCGAAATCACAAAAAATTAATTGTAACACGGAGAAGCTAGATAATTTGCTTCAAATTATTCAATAAAGTAATCAAACTTAATAACTATGAATCTTATGATGGTTGAGCTTCAGCATCGTCTATCTATTGAACGTTCTTGTTGTTTTTGTTCATGACATATTACACAATCATTTTATTTACGTTGAGTTTAATATTTAAAATATATTTTTTACAATTAACAATAAATTAAACAGAAATGAGCGCATCGACATTATTGCTAACAAAACCAATAAAATAACCACTTACATACTTTTAACTAAATGTCTCATTAAATTGTGCAGCAGACCTTTAAATTGTCTTCTATTTTTCTTTATAAACCTAGTAGTTTTTGTTCTTAAAAATTAATCGAATTATTAGAAGAATTATTATTTTTTTAATATGTTATTCTTCAAACATTTCTCTTATTATTTAAAACTTGTCTTGTTACTTCGTAAATTTAAAATTGTAAAATACTTATTTATTACATCATGATGTAAGCTGCAGCTTTAAATAAAACAATAAATAAAACAGCATTTTATTAGGCACAAAATAAACATAAATGATAAAAATTGAAATGTGAACAGTTGCTATTCAGTTATTGATTTTTTTAAATTACAGATTACAGTAAAAAAGAAAATTGTAATTTTAGAAATGCTGTTTAGAACTTTTATTGAAATAGAAGAAAACACTTGTAGCTTCCTTATGCTACCTACAAATAGGTGGCACCACTTTCCTTAAATCTTACAAAAATTAATTCAAATATAATTTATTGTTAATTTAAGTTTGTATCTAAAGTTTCTTAACAATTTATTTGTTTGTATATAATTATAA